TCCCGCATCTCCCCCACCCCTTTCCCCCCCAAGAATAGTCAGTCCATTCCCTTTCTATGTCCCTGATTCTATTATAATCACCAGTTCATTCTGTACATCAGATTATTTATTCACTTGATTTTTAGATTCACTTGTTGATAGATGTGTATTTGTTGTTCATTTGTATCTTTACCTTTTTCTTCTTCTTCCTCTTCTTAAAGGATAATTTTCAGCATTTCATATAATACTGGTTTGGTGGTGATGAACTCCTTTAGCTTTTCCTTATCTGTGAAGCTCTTTATCTGACCTTCAATTCTGAATGATAGCTTTGCTGGATAAAGTAATCTTGGTTGTAGGTTCTTGGTATTCATCACTTTGAATATTTCTTGCCACTCCCTTCTAGCCTGCAAAGTTTCTGTTGAGAAATCAGCTGACAGTCGTATGGGTATTCCCTTGTAGGTAACTGAGTTTCTTTCTCTTGCTGCTTTTAAGATTCTCTCTTTGTCTTTTGCTCTTGGCATTTTGCCGCCATCTTGGTTTTCAGGAGCTCCCTTAGTATTGATAAGAAGCTAGAATATTAGATACACAACCTGCATTCTCTTAGCTTCAGGGAGTTCCCTCTCCACTCTTTTCTCTCATTCCAAAGAATCAAAAAGCTATAAAATTATATTCAGGTGACTGTCTAAATATATATTTCACAGCTGGATGACTCAAAATAATATTTAATACCTAAAATTAATTTGTTCAGATTGCACTATTCTTCATTAATTCAGCTAGCTAGTTTCTACTTATAGATGTGGTCCTAAAACCCTACGTGAGAAAAGTTGAGTGAAAGAAAAACTATTGTTTAAAAAACAAAAGAAGAGAATAGAGATTGCCAGAGTGAGGAAATACTGTTGCTGTTTTGTTAATCCTCACCTGAGGATGTTTTTCCATTGATTTTTTAGGGAGTGTGGAAGGACTGGGGAGAGACAGAGAGAAACATTGATGTGAGAGAGACATATGGATTGGTTGCAGGGGATTGAGCCTGCAACCAAGGTACATTCCCTTTACTGGATTTGAACCCATGACCCTTCACTCAGAGGGCCAATGCTCTATCCACTGAGCCAAACCTGCTAGGGAGGAAATACTATTTTCTATACACTTACCCTTTAACTTTAACTAAAAAAGAAAGTGCCAAAGTAATCTCTTTACCCTCACTATTTTTAAAAAAATATATTTTATTGATTTTTTACAGAAGGAAGGGAGAAGGATAGAGAGTTAGAAACATAGATCAGTTGCCTCCTGAACACCCCCTACTGGGGATGTGCCTGCAGCCAAGGTACATGCCCTTAACTGGAATTGAACCTGGGACCATTCAGTCTGCAGGCCAATGCTCTATCCACTGAGCCAAACCAGGCAGGGCTACCCTCACTATAATTTTAGACAGGTGTCATCTCAATTGTGCTGTTAACATGCAATAGCCTCCAACAATCTATTCCAGACCTGGAGCAGAGTGGGGGTGAGGAATCTGTGAGGGAGAAGAAGACTAACGAGGTTGTCTTAGCACTTTTAGTACATGTTATAAGAATAACAGAACAGAAAAACCTTGGTTCCATTCATTATAACTACCTCAATTTTTTAAAAATCACATATACTTGAGAGCTTATATATTTTCTCTATAAAAAACTTAATTTTTGAACATTTGGCAGCACCTTTGGAATAAGAAAAATATTAATATTTATAAATATATACTTATATTTTTTAAATCATGAAACATTGATATTTATATCATCCAAATATTCTAGATTGCTATTATTTAAGAGGTTATTGATATCCACCACATGCACTTGTATATATATATATATATATATATATATATATATATATATATATACACACACACACACACACCTTAATTTAGATATAAATTCAATTATGTTTAACAATATTCACTGAACATCAAGATGTAAGCCCTCTCCTAAAAGCTAAGGAACACAAATATGAACAACATCAGTTCCTTGTGAACTCTAACAATAATATAGAGCATATTGGCAAATGAACATACCCATAAACAAGTATAACTGTCTCTTTTAGTAAAACATAAAATTATATTGATTATCTACTTTAAAAAAATGTGTGAGGTAGTCTAACAGGTTGGGAATAAACTACTGGCATAGTCCAGGGTCAGCAAACATTTTCTTGAAAAGGTAAGATAGTAAATATTTTCACATTTGTGCTCCATAAGGCCTCTGTTGTAATGTACAAATATACTTTAGCACCACAGCAACCATCAACAATCCATAAATGAATGAATGACCATGACTATGTTCCAGTGAAACTTTATTAATGATTATTAAAACGTGAATTTCACATAACGGTTCTGTCACAACGTATTATTACTCTTCTGATTTTCACAACCATTTAAAAATGTAAAAACCGGGGAGAACCAAGATGGCGGCGTAAGGTGCAGACCTGTGCGTGCTGCCTCCCACAACAATATTGAAACTACCAATTATAAAACAAACAGCTATCATTCAGAACCATGGGAAGCTGGCCCAGTGGAAGCTCTACAACTGGAAGGAAAGAAAGAAGAGCATTGAGACTGAGTAGGATGTACAGAGGCGCCAAGAACAGAGGTATGGAGTCACATGCCAGGAGGGCTGCAACTGGATGCGCGGTTTTTTTCAATCGGAAGGGGTTACAAACTCTCGAATCCACTGAGCTTGTTTGGGGCGGGATTCTGCGGTTCCAGACCCCTATGGGGAGAGGCGGGACGGCCTTGCAGCGGGTCGGAGAGTGAGGGTGGCTTTCTCACGGAGCTGCTCACCGGCTCTTTGCTCTACCCTGGTGATTCCCAGAGACCCCATCCTACTCAATTTACATCCCCGCCCAAGCTGTGCCAGTGGCACATAAGGAACCACCTGCACTTTTGCAGCCTAACCCAACAAACTGTAGATTTCAACTCCTCGCCTACATAAAGAACACACTAAAGAAGCAGAATCGGGTTCGGAGGAAGCTGGAGCCGGACCGGCTGGGCCGGCGACATGGAACCACTGTACCAGCAGAAGCACAAGCAGGTCCACCAGATCCAGTCTTGCATGGGACGCTGGGAGACGGCAGACAAGCAGTCTGTGCACTTAATAGAAAATGAAATCCAAGCAAGCATACCAGATATTCAGCCACCAAGAATGCCTGGAGATTTTGTCCAGCAAGGAGCTGCCCAACAAAAGACAGAATGCCAAACTTCGTGTTGACCAGTTAAAGTATGATGTCTAGCACCTACAGACTGCTCTCAGAAACTTCCAGCATCGGCGATACACAAGGGAGCAGCAGGAGAGATAGCAAGAGGAGCTTCTGACTCGCATCTTCACCCCCAACATGGGATGCAGCGCCCCCTGCGAGGCTGCGACAGCCCCTGTGAGGCTGCGATGGCCCCTGAGAGACCATGACGGCCCCTGTGAGGCTGAGACAGCCCCTGTGAGGTTGAGACGGCCCCTGGGAGGTTGAAATGGCCCCTGTGAGGCTGTGACGGCCCCTATGAGGTTGTGCCGGCCCCTGTGAGGCTGAGACGGCCCCTGCGAGGCTGTGCTGGCCCCTGGGAAGCCGAGAAAAATACCACATGATCTCACTCATTTATGGATAATAAAGGCCATTATAAACTGATGAACAAAAATAGATACAGAGGCAGAGCAGCATTGAACAAACTGTGAAACTAGAGTGGGAAGCCTGGAGAGGGTTGAGGGGGTAAGAGATCAACCAAAGGACTTGTATGCATGCATATAAGAATAACCAATGGACACAAGACACTGGGGGGTAGGGGAGGCCGGGGCAATGTCAAGGGGGGGAGGGGGGAAGGAAACATATGTAATACTCTTTGTAATACTTTAAGAAATAAAATTTTTTTAAAAATGTAAAAACCATTCTTAGTTACCCATGTGCAAAGCACATGGCTGTCAGCATTTGGCCCTCAGGCCATAGTCTGCCAACCTCTAGTATAATCAAACACCAATGCCAAATAATGCATGAACTTAGAGTGACTCCAGTAGGTACTGCTACAAGTATTCAGAGAAGAGAGAGGAAAATATGTTAGAATAATCAAGAAAGACTCTTTGAATCAGAAGTACTTGAGCCAGGATCTAAGAATGATGAGAACTCCTACCGTAGTTACCATCTAATTAGTATATGCAAGAAAGCTGCTCCACTCTCTGAAAAAAACCCAAAACCTGCTATTTTGTCAAAATATGTAGAAAACAACATGCAATTAAGTGTATACTGTCGTTTAAGCTGCACAATACAGCTTACCAATTTTTGAAATATTGTATACTCTAATTTAAAATGGTAAAAAACAGTTACAGGTTATAAAAAATGAATGTGGAAGTCAACCCTCACTGTATTTACAGAGGCAATGGAGCTAAAACAAGTCATTAGGGTGAGCCCTAATTCAATATACAGACATCCTTATCAAAAGGAGAAATTTGGACACAGACACACAGAGGGAAGACCATGTGAAGACACACAGGGAGAAGCAATGTGACTGAAGTGATGCATCTAAAAGCCACGAAATTTCAAGGACTGCCTGCAAACACCAGAAGCTAGAGCAGACAAGAAAGGATTCTCCCTCGAGCTTTCATGGAGATTATGGCCCTGCTGACTCCTTCATTTTGGACTTCAGTCTCCAGAACTGTAGGAAAATATGTTTCTGCTGATTTACGCCACCCAGTTTTGGGTACTTTGTTTTAGAAGCCCCAAGAAACTGATACACACACATCAAGTACTAATAATGTTTTTCACTTTGTAAGACTATTACTATAGTACTCAAGTAACCATGTCACCATTTAATGAACAACAAAAATACGATGTCTGAAACAACATGAACAATGAGTTAAAATTGTCATGTTAAAATTAAATTGATTTCTTTGCATGATATGGCTAGCAAACAAGTCATTCCTTGTCTTTTCCCCCTCAATACCTCAAACCAGATGTTCTTGGGCTGGATAGAAAGCTAACACGCAGAAGGAAAGATAGACTCATACTTATTTATCTGCTGCCACTTGGTGTCAGGGTGAGTTTCCTAAATAAAGCAGAGGAGTAATTAATTTGGTTGTTGCAATTAGGAACCCTGGTCTCCTCAATGTCCATATGGTATATCTCTTCTCATTACACCTAGTGTGCTCCTCAGTAATTCAAGAAATGACCACTAAGCCCACCTTCTTTCCAAATGGAGGTAACATAAGCAACCAGGAAATTGATTTGGATCCATGTCAATTTTTCTTCTATTTCAAGATGGAGCTTTACATTAAAGAATAAAAGAAACCATATTTTTCTTAAAGCAAATGAAAGCATAACTACCTTACTCAAGAGCTCTTTCTTACAGTTGCTATGCTTTAACATTTTCATTAAATGGTATGCTAATGGTTTAAATGTGAGCACAGTCTCACTTCTTTAGAAAAAAAAAAAGAATAATTGGGGCATTGTCTTGGTTCAAGGCCATTCAGTAAAAATAAAGTAGGTCAGCAACATCAAGACTACCACAGAATTGTTAGATTACCTTTTTATATATTGATCATTTATTAAACCATAATTCATACAACCTAGGATATTTTAAAAATATTAAAAAAGAGCTCGAATTATAGGATATCAATTATTATCTTCATTCTATGTTTTAATAGAACATCTCCGAAAATGTGAGTTTACTAGGAATGTGAAGGAAAACTTAACCTTAATTTGAGTTTCTTTACGTTTGCCTGGAGGAAGCTGATTGATCTAGGACATATTTAACTGTTACAACTCCTTATTTTGTTTTTCCTTCTAAGGCTTCCAATTTATACAAACACTTTATCTGGAATCCTTTCTAATCCTTTTCCCCAAAGTACTCTTTTGTATAATGTGTAGAATTAAAACAAGGTGGAGGTTCTAATTCAAGCCGTTAACCATAGTCCCAAGATTATAATGACCTATAATGTACTAATATACTAAAAACTTGTTTGGGCAAAAATTAGTTTGGAGTTAGGAAAACGTATTAAAAGATCCCTTTGGCCCTGGCCGGTGTAGCTCAGTTGGTTGGGCGATATCCCTTTCACAGAGAGGTTGCTGGTTTGATTCCTGGTCAGGGCACATGCCAGGGTTGCAGGCTAGATCCCCAGTAGGAGGTGTGCAGGAGGGAGTCCATAAATGTTAAACACTCACACTGATGTTTCTCTCTTTTCCCTTTCTCTCTCTCTCTCTCTCTCTCTCTCTCTCTCTCTCTCTCTCTCTCTCTCTCTCTCTCAAAAATCAATTAACTATTCTTTAAAAAAAAAAAAAGACCCCTTTGGTAGTAAATTAGGAGAGGCATACTGGGTACCAATTTTGAGACATGGGTTCATTTTATTTATATTTAAGCAGAACTTAAGATTTCTGCAATCAATCAATTAAACTTATACTTGGTTTTAACACTACTACTTTAAGATGTGGCAAGAGAGAAATCTACCCTAAGCCTTGAATGTCACTAACACGACAACTTCAACACTCATCACTGGCACATAACTCATATCATCTGGGCCCTGGGGAAATATTTCTCCACATTTCTCAAAACAAAAGGCTACTGCATCAAAATGCCATGAAGGTGTAGGCTGTGTTACTACTGACCTGAGAAATGCACACTGCTCTAGGGAATTGGCAGGATTAGTGGTAGAAATGCAGAGGTTCTCAAATCCTCCTCTGAAATAGCATCTATGCAAAGGATTCTTGCATTACAAAGTACCATTTGCAAATACTGCCAAGGATCCATTTCCTTCCTTGTCTTCCAGTTATGACTGGTGATTTCAGGGATATTTATGATGACATCAATTGGTTGTCCACCTCTCTCCTGCGGGGAGCCCTTCCCGACATGGGCTTTCATTTAAATTCTTGTTCTCTGCCCTGCAAATTTTGGGGGGCAGGCCTGAGCAAAACTGGATCAGACACACTAGGGTTCAAATAAAATATTTCTAACTCGTTTCTAGCAGAGACTTATTTTTTTTGTAATAGAAAAGAATAATGTATGTTTGGAAATTCTGGTTAAAATATTAAGAACTATTAACCCTAACCTATTCCAAAAAAAAAGTGGACATCTTTTCTATTTTTAAAGATTTACAATAAAAGAAAGTCCAAAGCTATATTATTGTTTATGTTAAAGTTTCCATTTTCAGCTTATTTGTATTTTTATCCATTACAAACATGTTTTGAAAAAGCAGATTCGCATACAATGTCAGCCAGCTTTTCAGAGACCCAAACATGATCTCTCAAAATATGAACTTACAAATGTCCTAATGTCTCTGAGCCCAGAGGTGTCAATGTCACCGAGGTGCCCAAAAGTTAAATTTCAAGGCTGCTTATCAAGCGCAGTAACTGAACACTTGAACTAAACTCATAAGTGTGCAAAGAAGTAAATATCCATCGGGAAAAAAATCCTGAATTACAGGGTGGCCCATTGAAAACAGTTCCCATTTAATAATGTGGCTGTGCAGGGCCTCTTTTAAATGGGCCACCCTGTATGAAGCTTAAGTCCAAGATAAAAAATGTCCTCCCTTGAGAATTTTTAAAAACCAGAAACACTGTAGGTTTAGTGGTTATTTTTATGGTTTTAGATGGTTTCTTTGGACTCCTTTAGAACTGAAAAAAGATGGATACACATTTTAAAAATGAAATGTTACAACCACACATCTGTAATGAGAACCAGTGCCAGTGGATATTTTTAAAGCAAATTAAAACGGTCAACTTTTTTTTTTTTTAACATAGGCAAACAGCTGCTATACACACAGTGCACAGTAACTACTTTTCAGCAAAAGTTCAGAAGGAATTTCCTAATGAAGATTTATGGGATGTTCTGGGATTGATAATTAAAGGTTCCCCTAAAAAGATATGAATGACAGCATCAAAGATGTGAGGGGTAAGGGCACTAAGCATGCCTGTGCTCTGAGGGAAGGGCCTGGAATTTAAAATAGAAAATAGACAAAGTAGTTACCACAAAGGGAAATGAGGATGAAACTGACACGGAGCAAACCTTTCATGTACATCTTTTCCCTACTGACTTTAAAGTGTTTTGTAAAATTCCAAAGTGATTTCTAATGTTTAAATGCCTCTATTATTTAGTGAGGTTTTTGAAATCCTCACCCGAGGATATGCTTTCATTGGTTTTTTTATTTTATTTTATTTTTTAGAGAGAGAGAGACTGACAGACTTCGATGTGAAACATTGACAGATTGCCTCCCGTACATACCCCGTCCAGGGATGGAAACCCGCAACCCAGGTGTGTGTTCTGACCAGGAATAGAACCTGCAACCTTTTGATGTATGGCATGATGCTCCAACCAACTGAGCCACCCAGCCAGAGCTAGTCCTTCTTTTATAAAGGGGAGGGGAGAAAAGGGAAAGGGCTTGCCTAAAAAAAAGTACACTGATAAAAGAGATTATAGGCTCTGAAGATTTTGACTTCCACTCTGTATCTGACTTGAATAATGCTATTTCTCCTCTAAAATCAATGATAATAATAACAACTATGAACCCTCCCATTATCCTATGTGCCAAGGACTCTTCCTAGGCACCTGACATGATAAATTATTTAATCCCCACAATAATACAATGAGGTTGATAACCGTTATATCCATTTACAGGAAAAGAAAGTGAAAGACTGACAAAGCAAACTGCTCAAGGTCTCAAACACAGTAAAATTGCCTGTTGTGATTCAAGATATGACTCAGTTCCAGGGTCAGTGATCTAGAGCTTCAGAAAGAATAAGAAACTGCATAGCTCCCTAAAAGTATCATTTAGTAAGGTCACATTCTGAATATTACATACCATCCCCCAGCACAAGTGTAACAGCCACATTCAACTTCATACTCAGCAGTAGCTCATTCATTCAACAAACATTTATTGGCCACCTTATTGGACAAGTATTGGTCTAGACACTGGGAATAAAGCAATGAATGAAATAGACACTTTACCTTACTGATAATCTGGCTACTGGGTCATAACAAATTGGGATGAGCATTTACTCTAAAGGCATATATTTATTGACAAGCCAATAGCTAATAATGTAGAGCAACTAATAGCTTTGTTCTACAATACAGTGTAACAGATTATATTTATTTTCTTGGAAAATTGACATGAGTTAAAGAAAGTTTTTTAAAAATTTATAAGTACCACGAAAGAGCAGTGGACAGAATCAAGAATCTGAGTTATGTTTTCAATAACTAGATTTTCAGCTCCATGATCCTGATTACATTACTGTCCCTGAAAGGATCTCAGTTTCATCATCTGTGATTGAGGGATGCTGGGCTAATTAATAATAAATATTATATTATGTTCTACACTATTATGATTTAAAGTTAATGGTCTCATTGTAGCAGATATAGTGAACTAAGGCAACATAAAGGAAAGCTTTATATGATTTTCCCCCTAATGTTATGCCTGATTAATGGGACAAAGTCTATAATAAAATAGAAACTTATTCTTTCTCTAATAACATATTTTATCCATAAAGCAAGAATAATTCCTCAGTATCATCAAATATCCCGTCCATATTTCACCACCCATACTACCCATGTCCTCTTTACTCCCGATCCCCTCCCTGGGCCCCTTCTACTGTCCTTTACTTGCTTTGTTTAACAGTTTGTTTGCATTGGAATTCAAACTACGGTATCACTCATATCTCTTAATCTACAGGGTCCTCCTTCATCCCTTCTTTTTCCTTCCTTGTAGTTTCTTGCTGATGATGAAGCCGTGATATTTGACCTTTAGCACTTCTCCCAGTCTAGATGTTCTTGGTGAACTTCATAGTGTGATTCCACCAGTCCCTCCATTGCCAGAAGGTCCTGCTTGTTAGATCCAGAGGCTTCTAAGGTTCAACTGTGGCAAGACTCCTTCCTAGGTGGATGGGACAGGAAATATGTCTTCATAAAGGATCGATCAAGGCAGGGAAAATGTAATGCCACTGTCTCTCTTTGTGGTACGAGCAGCCTTTCATGCTCAAGGCCTGGGTTCATTCTTTCATAAGGCATTCATTCTTTCAAAACGATGGCATTCCTTCTGCATTTATTCATAGAACAGTTCTATTAAAAAGAACGACTTCTCTCTATGATGTAGTTACCCTGAGCTACATTTTTTATGACAGGCAAATACATAATTAATTCTTTTCCTTCATTAACTAGTTTTTTGTTAAAAAATGATTTGTTCCTTTATTATTCTTCAAAGATGATTGGGGGTTTCTTTATTTTCTAAGTGTCATTATGAATTTATTACACATATTTGATGGTTTTAAACCAATTGTAATTTTGCTAGTGATGCTTACATTGTCCATCATTGGCTGGTGAGAGTCTAATAGGTTGGTTCCTGTGTCTTTCTGACACAACCCCATGGTCCTTCCAGCATGACAAGGTGTCCCAGACTCATGTCCATTTCTAGCCCCAGATAAGGAATCAGACATTTCTCTAAAGAGCCTAGTTCCATTTAGTCAGTATTTCAACATGTTTTAATATCCTAATCTATATCCTATATAATAAAACCCTAATATGCAAATAGACTGAATGGTGGAATGACTGGTTGCTATGATGCGCACTGACCACCAGGGGACAGACGCTCAAGGCAGGAGCTGCCTTCCACGTTGAGCATCTGCCCCCCACCCCAGGGAGGCAACTGGCAGAGGCAGTGGCAATTGGGAGGCAGGGCCGGCCAGCGGGCGGTGCCAGTAGGGGCCCCTGATCACCCCGCCCACCAGTCGCCCCACAGATCGGCCCTGATCACCAGCCAGGCCTAGGGACCCTACCCTATATACTGGGAACAGTCTCTTAGATTTAAAAATTAAAACCTGGCAAGGCTACTCTAACACTTAAAAAAAAAACAGGATGATGCAGCGATGACATGCATGGACTCTGGCTTGCACATGTTGTGGTCAGCCGTGGTTTTGACACTTATAACTGTGTGACAAAGCCAATTATTTAATTTCTCTCTGTTTCAGTTTTTCTACACATAAGATGGGGAAAATGGTACTACTGCCTCAGAAGGATCATGTTGTATACTACTTTTTATAATCAGGGCAAAAAATGTAGCTGCCCATACAACAGCAAGATGCCTTTCACCTGTATGAAAAGTATGGTCACTGGTGCATGCAGTGTTCTGGATTGCGAGAGGGATGCCCGACTATCGGTTTAGGCCCGATCACAAGGACATCCCCTGAGGGCACAGGCTGGTGCTAGATTGCACTTAAATTATTGGAGGGAATACTTTGTAACCTATATGAATGTCTATCCACTGTGCTACACATCTGAAACTAATACAAAACAGTATTAAATGCAAACTATAACTAAAAAATAAAATACAATAAAGTAATTGAATGGAAAAATAGTTCCATAACAATAGTAGAATTCAATATCCCTCCCACAATAATGTTTAGAACAACCACACAGAAGATAAATAAGCAAATAGCAGACTTAAACAACATAAATTAGGAAACATCTAACAGACATTTACAGAACATTCTATCCAAGACTACACTATATACATTCCTGTCAGGTACACATGGGGCATTTTCCAGGACAGATCATATGTTAGGCAACAAATTAGTAAATTTTTAAAAAGACAGGTATCATACAAAGTATCTCCCCTAACAAAAAGAGGAATTAGATAGCGGTGACAAAACAAAAACAAAAATAAAAACAAACACACACTGAAAAATTTACAAAATTGTGCAAATTAAATAACCAATGGAAATAAAGAAATAATAAAGGACATTAGAAAATATTTAGGAAGTACTGAAAACAAAAACTCAGCATACCAAAACTTATGGGAAACAGCAAAGGCAATACTTAGAGGGACATTTATAGCTATGAAAGCTTGCTTACATTAAAAACAAGCAAGATCTGCCTGGCTGGTGCAGCTCAGTGGTTGAGCATTGACCCAGAAACCAAGAGTTCGCCAGTTTGATTCACAGACACGGTACATGCCCGGGTTGTGGGATCCATCCCTGGTGGGGAGCGTGCAGGATGAAACAAATCAATGTGTCTCTCTCACTCATGTTTCTATCTCTATATCACTCTCCTTTCCTCTCTAAAATCAATAAAAATATTTTTAAAAAGAAAACAACCAAGATCTAAAATCAACAACTTCCCTTTATAAATTAAGAAACTAGAAAAATAAGAACAAACTAAACCCAAAACTAGAAAGAAGGATATGATAATAATTAAAGCAGATACAAATTAAACAGAAAACAAAAAGAATAGAGAAAAATTAATGAAACTAAAAGTTGGTTAATTGAAAAAAAAACACAAAAAAGTTGAAATTTTTTTAGGTAGAAGGACTCATTAAAAAAATGAGACACCACTGAAATTACTAAAATCAGAACTGAAAATGTGGACATTGATGCAGATTCTACAAAAATAAAGATTTTAAGACACTAGTGTGAATAAATAGTATGCCAACAAATTCAATAACCAAGATCAAATGGAAAGATTCCTAGAAATATAAAACCTACCAAAACTACATAATGTAGAAAAAAAAACTAAATAGACCTACAACTATTAAGGACATTGAATCAGTAATCTGAAACGTCCCAACAAATGAAAGCCCTAGACCTGATGGCTTCCCTGATGAAGTCTATGAAACATATAAAGAACTAACAGAAATCCTTCTCAAACTTTACCAAAAAAATTGGAGAAGACACACTTCCTAAATTATTCTAGGAGGCCAGCATTACTTTGATACCAAAACCAAAGACACTACAAAAGAAGAAAATAATAGACCAATATCCTTTATAAACACTGTTCCAAATATTCTCAACAAAATAGTAGCGAACAGAATTCATTAGCATAGTAAAGGATTATACCTCATGACCAAGTGGGATTTTTAGTGGAATGCAAGTGTGGTTCAACGTATGAAAATCAACCCATGTTATATGCCACATATATATCTAAAGAAAGTGAAAATAAGACCTTGAAGAAATGTTCGCACTCCTCTGTTTACAGTAGTATTATTCACAATAACTAAGATATATAAACAAACTAAATGTCCCTCAAAGAATTAATGAAAAAGATGTGGTGTGTATATACAATGGAATATTATTCAGCCATGAGAAAGAAGGAAATGCTGCCATTTGCAATAATGTGGATGAAGCTTGAGGGCATAATCCTATATAATAATAGAGGAATATGCAAATTGTCCATTACACCATAATGTCACAACTGGATCATCAGGCTGCATCCCCGCCCTCTACTCAGGCAGCTGCAAGGCCCGGGCTAGGATAGGATATGATAGGAGGGGATAAGAAAGGAGAGGGAAAGGAAGGCAGGCCTGCACGCAGACAGGCCAAGAGGAGAAACAGAAATACAGAAGGGTACAAGAAAAGATGCAGGAATGGAAAAGGGAAGGAAACGCGGGGCTGCACACGAGAGGGGGTGGCGACCGTGGGGGTCGGGGGCTGGAGCAGGTACGCATGAAGAGGGGCGGGACACAGGCGGCGCAGAGCAGGGAGCCCCACCCAGACGTGGGAGGAGGGTCATGGCCCCTGGTGCTGGCTGTTGGCAGGTCCCAGAACCACAGGGTGGAGGGTACGAGGCCTTCCGGGCGGAGGCACTCCTGCTTCATGGCAGCAGCACCCGGGCCGCACGGGCCTTGGCCACCCTCGCTGGGCCAGGCGTCCTGGGCAGGGAATGGGAGTAGGATGGCAGCAGGGAGGCTGGGGATGGGGGGGCGGTGAACACCTGGCTGGGGCTGAGCCCTGGATTGGGGGTTAATAACCCCCACACCTGAACGGAAGCTTTAAGAAGGGAAGGAGGGAGGGAAGAACTTTATAAAGGAGTCAGCAGAGAGCAGAGTTAAAGAAGGAAAGCGGGTGTATGAGTGAACTGTAGGAGCTATAACGAAAACCAAGTATAGTTGTGTACGGGGGACAGATTTTAAAAGTAGGAGTCAGAAAAGAAAAAAGATAAATAGTAGTGAATAATTAGGCAGGTAGATAGATATTAAAACAGTGGAAGTAGAGAAGAATGTATAGGAAAGGTAGGATGAGAGAGGAAGAGGCAGGGAAGAAAAGTTTTAAAGGGGAGCCGGTAGAGCTTAAAAGGAGAAGGGAAGAAGGAAGAAATGGGTGAGGGAGCAAAGCAGGTCCAAGGAAGGAAGTGAAAAAAAAATTAAGGTGGGAAGGAAGGAAAAGGGGAGGCAGGGGTAAAGATAAAGGAAAGAAGGAATGTGGGGAGGGAGGGAGAGTAGGAGAAAGATGGGAAGAAGGATGATGGAACAGAAGTAGGAAATAAGGAGGAAAGAAAAGTTTATAAATGATGAGTCAGTAGGAAAAAGTGTTACATAAAGGAGAGAGAAAAATTGTGTGAGAGGGAGAAGTCAATAAGGAAGTCAAATACAATTGTGTGTGAAGGGGATAAGATTAAAAAAAAAAGTTAATAGGGGTGACCAGGCCAGTAGGGGAGGGCAGTTAGGGGTGACCAGGCCGGCAGGGCAGGACAGGGCAGTTAGGGGGGTCACGCAGGCAGAGTGCTTAGGGCAGGCAGGCAGGTGAGCGGTTAGGAGGCAGAGGTCCCAGATTGCAAGAGGGATGTCCAACTGCCAGTTTAGGCCCGATCCCTAAACTGGCAGTTGGACATCTCCCGAGGGCTCCCAGATTGGAGAGGGTGCAGGTTGGGCTGAGGAACACTCCCCCCCCCCCCACGCATGAATTACATGCAATGGGCTTCTAGTGTGAAATAAGCCAGATAGAGTAATAAAAATACTGTACGATATGAACATGTACAAACTTGTACAGAGAGTAGAATGGTAGTTACTGGGGCTTAAGAATGGGGAAATCAGGGAGATATTTAAAAATACAGACTTGCAACTAGTAGGTAAGTCCTAGAGAACAAATTCACATCATAGTTATTATA